CGCCCCCGCCGGCGGGTGGCGGCGGCCCGGGCGGGGGTCCTCCCGTGCTGTAGTCCGACATGGCGCGGCGGGGCCGGGCCTGGCGCGGAGGCTGAAGCTGAGGAGGCGGCGGCGGCAGCAGCGGCTCAACGCGGGAACAAGGCCTCGCTCCACACGGCCGCGGAGCACTCTGGGAACCCAGCGGCTGGAAAGACGACGAGGGGGGAGAGGGACGCCCCCTCCCGACGCCGGCTTGACGGACGGCGCCGCCGGGCCAATGGAAGGCGGCTGCTGCTCCCGGGACACCAATCACGGGCTCTGGAGGCGAGCGGCCAATCGGAGTGCCGCGAGGGGCAGTGGGCGGGAGGCGCCGCGAGATCGACAGCTTTCCGAGGCAGTGGGCTGCGGGCTGCCGGCGCTGGGAGGGCAAATCGAGGAGATCCGAGAAGACCCGAGGCCCAATGAAGCGGGAGTTCCAGAATCGGTGGGCGGCTTCAGAACCGGATTGATGGCTCCGAAGAGTCAAGTGGACAGGAAGGAGGGATCTGGCGAAAGGCTTCTTTGAACGGCTGGGCGGGCGTCCGGCGAGATAGTCGTCTACGCAAGCCAATGAGTACACATGGAAGGAGGTTTTTACAGAGATTGGCAATCAACGTATCCAGTCTCTGACGAGATCTGTGTGACGCGCTTGCGTTTGGACTGAATTACTTTCGGTCTTAACCAGAATCCTTTTCTAGTCCTGTCTTCTAAGCCAGTGGTTGAGTGGCGGGGGCGGGCGTAAGGTGACTGACACCTCTCCGGACAAGTGGCAATGAAGGAAATAAAGGTGCTTCGTTTTGGTGGGAGCCAGTGGAAGCGCAGCTGCATTGGGGCGGAGCCGGCCACCAGACGGCGGGAGGGGATTAGCCGTAGCCGGAGTGAATGGCAGCCGACGTGGGCTTTGGCGACCGGCTGCCGGAATTCAGGCCTGACGTCTGGGTTAGCGCCCCAGGAACCTGGCTGGGTAGGCCATGCACGTGGCCTGCTTGAGGCCTTGGAGACGGGTGCTTCCGGGGGTGGGGTGGCCCCAAAGCAAGAGGAAACCGAGGGATCCTCTGTACCCCCTTTCCTCCCTCCACCCAGGGATCTAGAGCCCCCACTTCTCTTCCAGCACTCACGGACCCAGCTCTCCTCCCGAACTCCAGGGTCTAGGGCCTTGGGTTTCCTCCCAGGACCGAAGGATCCCAGACTCTAATTCCACACCCCACACCCGCTTCACATAAGGTCTTTGGATCCGAGCTCCAAGCTCTGATCCTAGGCCCTCAATTTCTCTCCTAGACCTAGGCATCTTCCAGGCTTCCAATTCCCATTCAGGACCGAGGGGCCCAAGGTACCCATCCCCGCTCCAGGACCCAGGGATCCAGATACCCAGCTCCTTCTTAGACCCAGGGTATTCCAGGTTCCCAGCTTACCCAATGGACCCAGTTATACCGGGTACCCAGCTCTTATCCTAGACCCAGGATTCCAGGTCCCTAGCTCACTTCCTGGAACCAAGGACTCCAGGTCCCTAGCTTTCTTGCTGGACCCAGGGAGTCCTAGTTCTGTCCTAGACCCAGAGATTCCAGATAACCAGCTCCTCTCTCGGACCCAGGTATAACAGATCCCCAGTTGCCCTCCTGGACCCAGGTATCCCAGACATGTCCAGCAGAAACCATCACTTTATTCCTGGTTGTCTCCACATTCACCCTTTTGCCCTGGAACAAGGACAAGTCACAGCGAGTCAGACTGGAGTCCAAACTAGTCCCAGGCTGCACCCTGGGGAGGAGGCTCCAGGAATCTTTTTTTTTTTTTTTTTAAGTTATTTATTTAATTATTATTTCTGGCTGCGTTGGGTCTTTGTTGCTGCACACAGGCTTTCTCTAGTTGCGACGAGCGGGGGCTACTCTTCGTTGTGGTGCATGGGCTTCTCATTGCGGTGGCTTCTCTTGTTGCAGAGCGCGGGCTCTAGGCACGCGGGCTTCAGTAGTTGTGGCACACGGGCTCAGTAGTTGTGGCTCGCGGGTTCTAGAGCACAGGCTCAGTAGTTGTGGCACATGGGCTTAGTTGCTCCGTGGCATGTGGGATCTTCCTGGACCAGGGGTTGAACCCATGTACCCTGCACTGGCAGGTGGATTCTTAAACTCTGAGCCACCAGGCAAGTCCCTCCAGGAATCTTCTGACCCAGGCCCCCAGCCTCCTTCTGACAAAAACCACCCTGGGTTCCAAGCCTGGAGGGTTCTTTGGGGCCAGGGGACACTGGATCCTCCTGTCCATTTCTGCCCAGGTATGCCTAATTCACTGCTTAAATGCCCAGGGTCTTCTTCATGGCTTCGTACACCACGTAACTGATGCCACCTGCTGGCAACACCTTCAGTGACGTGGCGGTCATGCCTCGGTACAGCCCCGGGCAGCCCTGCTGGGCCAGGATCCGCTGGAAGACTCCGTGCATGGTGAGGTTCGAACCCTCCACGGTGTCTGCGGGGACAGAGGCAAGCTCAGAGCCTGGGCCAGAGATGACTGGGCATTCTGGAGGGGGGCGCGGGCTGGAAAGTTGTCGGGGGCAGTGAAGCCAGGAGCAAGGGGTCTGGGTGTCAGTTGGAAAGAAGTTTGGAAGACTTTTAGAGGAAATTGGTCAGTTTGGGGAGAATGAGGGGCAGGAATTTTCAGGATTGTTGTAGGGAACATCTTAGAAAACATTCCAATTTCTAAGATCTGCTAGAGATTTGGGTATCGTGGTAAGGGATAGTTTGGGGACATTTTCAAGATCAGGGTGGTGGGCTAAGGACCTGTTTGGATGTTTGAGGATTTGTTTAGGGGTTTGAGAGCCCCTTTGGGGGGTGGTCACATTTGGGGAGTTCCCAGGATAGTGCAGCAGGTGGTTATGAGTTTGGGGATGTCTCAGAGTCAGATTTGGCAAATTTAGAAACGGTTTGGCTTCTGGAGTCAATTGAGGGCTGGGTCCGATGTGGAGAAGTTGGGAGGTCATTTGGGGAGTATATGTCTTGAGGTCAGTATGGGGGCCTGAGTCACATTCAAGGAGGTTTGTGGGAGTCATTTGGGAGCTGGATGTTCGTTCTTTTTGTTGTTTTTTTTTTGCGGTACGCGGGCCTCTCACTGTTGTGGCCTCTCCCGTTGCGGAGCACAGGCTCCGGATGTGCAGGCTCAGCAGCCATGGCTTACGGGCCCAGCCACTCCGCAGCATGTGGGATCCTCCCGGACCGGGGCACGAACACGTGTACCCTGCATCGGCAGGTGGACTCCCAACCACTGCGCCACCAGGGAAGCCCTGGATGTTCGTTTTAGTGATGTGCAGGGTTAATTGAAGGGCTGAGATCAGATTTGGGGGTGAGTGTAAGTTTTGGTGGATTCAGGGGTCAGCAGAGGTGGCCAGGATCAGATATGGAGAGTTTAGGAGTCAGTCTTGGGGGGGGATGAGAAAGTTCAGAGAGCAGAGGCAAGGTGGGGAGGGGCATGCAAGGTCGCCTCTAGGGCCAGGCTGACCTTGGGCTTGCATCCTGGTGCGCACCGAAGTCAGTGGGTAACTGGCCATCTGGCCATAGGTTGTGGACAGTGTCACAGACGACAGACTGACCAGGCCACTGGGGTCCTCCATGTCCCTGCCTGATTTCAGCCAGAGGCACCTGAGCATCTACAAGAGAAAAAGGACAGGAGAGGGACTTCCCTGGTGGGCCAGTGGTTAGGACCCCATACTTCCACTGCAGGGGCACGGGTTCGATCCCTGGTTGGGGAACTAAGGTCCCACATGCCACGTGGCCAAAAAAAAAAAAAAAGAAGAAAAGGCCAGGAGGAAGCTCTCTACAGGCCTGGGTTCACGCCGCCCCTGACACGCCCCTCTGCGGGACCCACACCTAGTAGACAGCCAGGTCGGTGCAGGCGTAGGGAATGATGCCAAGCATCAGGTAGCCGCGGTAAAGGATGCGGGTGCCCTTCTGCTCCACGATATGCCTGGCGCAGTCCAGCAGCCCCTTGTACTGGCCAGTCCGGCACAGGGTCAGCCGTGTCTTCAGCACCTGGGGAGGATGAGGAGTGAGGTGGCTTGTTTGATCTAATCCTCTCAGTGACCCCCAACCATGGCCACTGTCCCCATCTACACAGGAGGAAACTGCTCAGGAACGCACACAGCTGAGTTTCAAACTCAGATGCCTCGGCCTGTATGTGCTCTCAGCCCAAGAGGGTGAGGAAGGGACTTCCCTGGCGGTCCAGTGGTTAAGCTTCCGCACTTCCACCGCAGGGGATGCGGGTTCGATCCCTGGTCGGGGAACTAATATCCCGCAGGCCACGTGGCGTGGCCAAAAAACAAAAAAAAAAAGGGCGAGGGAAGAGATGTGAGCCGGGTGGGGTCTGCTGCAGCTCTGCCCTAATGCCAGACAACTGTAGTGCCATGCAAGTGTGGACCCCAGGTAGCCAGATCTGCCAATTTTCTGAAAGAAGCCAGTTACTGGAATTTTTATGAAATACCCCAATATCAAAATATTGGCAGCTCTACAGTTGTGCAAAAGACAGCACACCGAGTGTGGTAGGCAAAATTCTAAGGTGGTCCGCAAGATTTCCATCCCCCTGATAGCATCATCTATTTAATGCCCTCCCTCCTGCCCTTGAGCTACTGAAGCTCGCATGCCTAGAGACCTGTGAATGTGATGGGCTGTCACTCCCCTCGGTCAGGTTACATATGACAAAGCTGAAGGGATTTTGCAGATGTAATAAAGCCCCTAACCAGTTAAGTTAATCAAGAGAAATCGTCCTGGGTGGGCCTGACCCAATCAGGAGAGCCCTTTAAAAGAGAGTCTATTGCTGGAGACAGAAGGCGTCAGAGAGATTGGAAGCATCAGAAACACTCTTGGGTTGTGTCTTTTCTTTTTTATTATGCCGTGCCACAGCTTGCGGGATCTTAGTTCCAGGGATCGAACCCGGCCCTCGGCAGTGAAAGTGCAGAGTTCTAACCACTGGACCATCAGGGAATTCCCTCAGGTTGGTCTCAAACAAGCAAACTGTTATGAGGAGGATCACATGGCAGGAAGCAGTGGGTGGCCTCCAGGAGCTGAGGACCTCGGTCCTACAATCATAAGAAAATGAATCCCGCCAACAACCAGGGAGTTTCGCAGAGGACCGCAAGCCTCAGATGGGTTCATTGGTAGCCCATTTGACACCTTGATTTCCACCTGATCAAACCCTGAGCAGAGGACCCGACTAGCCAGTGCCCAGACGTGACCCACAGAAACAATGAGATAATAAATCTGTATCATTTTAAGCTACTGAGTGCAGTAATTTCTTATGCAGCAATCAAAATCAAAAACACTTCACAGATGCAAACTATTGTATACAGAATGGATAAACAGTAAGGTCCTGCTGTATATAGCACAGGGCACTGTATTCAATGTCCTGTGATAAACCATAATGGAAAAGAATATATATATAAAAAAGAATGGGGACTTCCCTGGTGGTGCAGTGGTTAAGAATCCGCCTGCCAATGCAGGGGACACGGGTTCGATCCCTGGTCCAGGAAGATCCCACATGCTGCGGAGCAACTAAGCCCGTGCACCACAACTACTGAGCCTGCACACCACAGCTACTCTAGCCCACATGCCTAGAGCCCATGCTCCGTAACAAGAAGACAGTGAGAAGCCCGTGCACCGCAACGAAGAGTAGCCCCCTCTCGCCGCAACTAGAGAAAGCCCATGCTCGGCAATGAAGACCCAAAGCAGCCAAAAAAAAAAAAAAAAAAAAAACAACAACCAGTCAAGGGCAAGAATTATGTGGAGAAAACTTTAAAAGACCATTAAAGGGCAAAAAAAGAGACTTGAACAAATGGAAATGTTCTCGGATATGTAGAACCGATATCATAGGGATGGCAATAATCTCTAAACTCAACTATGAACTGAACATCATGCCAGTAAAAAACAAATACCAGTAGGTTATTTTGTGTTCTGAACAAGGTGCATTGCTTCTGAAGTTTGAATGGAAAAATTCAACAGAGAATAGCTTGGAAAACTGATAAAGAAGAGAAGGGGTGGAAAATAATAAGACATAATATCAAGCCTCAAAAATTAAACACGGGGCTGGGACTTCCCTTGTGGTCCAGTGGTTAAGACTCCACGCTTCCAGTGCAGTGGGTGCAGGTTCAATCCTTGGTCGGGGAACTAAGATCCCACATGCCACGTGGTGCAGCCCAAAAAAGAAAAAATGGTGGGGCAAAACTATATAGACAGTAACATGATCAGTGGTCTCCAAGGGCTGGGGGAAGGAGGGAGGGGTTAATAGGTGTAGTACAGAGACTTTTTACGGCAGTGAAATTATCCTGTGTGATGCTATTATGGTGGCTACTTGTCAAAACACATAGCAAGTACAACACAGAGGGCGAACGCTGATGTCAACTCTGGGCTTTGGTTAATAATAATGTATCAATATTGGCTCATCAGTTGTAACCAAAGTACCACCGAAATGCAAGATGTTAATGATAACAGAAACTGTGTATGTGTGAGAGGTATATGGAAACGCTCTGTACTTTCTGCTCAATTTTTCTGTAAACCTAAAACTGTGCTACAAAATAAAGTCTAGTCATTAAAAAAAAAATTAAAAGATAGTAGTGCATGAAGAGACCCCAGAGCGACAAGAAGAGAAAGGTCAGAAATAAACCCAAATATATACAAATATAGGTAATTTACCCAATTTAGTAAATTACAATGGTGGCGTCTTGGGTCATTGCTGGGGGAAAGGAGAGGACCCATTCAGTGAATAGTGTTGAGGTCACCAGGTAGCCATCCGGAATACAAGTTTGATACATATCTTACATGAAGAGGGGGAGGGGGAGGGGGAGGGGGAGGAGGAAGCAGTAGCAGCTACCACCTCATCATGTTTCATCTTCTACGGGGCAGATATTCTCTTACCTCCATGGGGTCGATGAGCATCTGGGAAGTGGCCACAGCCAGGGAGCTGGCAAGGAGTCGTTCCTGAAAGGGTGGGGACTCATGCACTCCGCAGAAGTAATTCTTACACTGGGACAGGAGAGAGGAAAGTGAGAGAATAACTAACCTTCCTTCCTTCCTGAAACTCATCTGGGGGAAGAGGTCTGGGACCCGGAGGATGAACATATGTCTTGGATAAGGATCTGGGCTCTGGGGGTCGTGGGTACAGGAGAGGTGAGGGCTTGAGGGTGGGGCAGACCATCCTCCCACCTGCTTTGAGGATGGAGGAGGGGGCCACGAGCCATGGAATGCAGGTGGCCTTTAGAAGCTGGAAAAGACCAGTTAGCAGATTCTCCCCTGGAGCTTCCAGAAGGAGCCAGCCCTGCTGACAGCTAGATTGTAGCCCAGTGAGATCCGTGTCAGGCTTCTGACCTCCACGATAATATTTTAAGCCACCAAATTTGTGGTCCTTTGTTACAACAACCATAGGAAACTAACACAGTATGTATTGTTGTCATGGCAAGAGGAGATGGAAGTGGGGGAGAATGGGAAGGCTCTGGAGCTCTGGGAGAGAGAGACACAGTTAGTCCCCGAAGTAAGACAGGCATAGGTTTGGAGTCAGATGGACCTGTGTTTGAATCCCGTCTCAGACACTTCTTGCTGTGTGACCTTGGGGTACCTGCTTTTTTTTTTTTTTTTTTTTAAAAAATCATATTTTAAGCCACCAAATTTGTGGTCCTTTGTTACAACAACCATAGGAAACTAACACAGTATGTATTGTTGTCATGGCAAGAGGAGATGGAAGTGGGGGAGAATGGGAAGGCTCTGGAGCTCTGGGAGAGAGAGACACAGTTAGTCCCCGAAGTAAGACAGGCATAGGTTTGGAGTCAGATGGACCTGTGTTTGAATCCCGTCTCAGACACTTCTTGCTGTGTGACCTTGGGGTACCTGCTTTTTTTTTTTTTTTTTTTTAAAGAATCATCTTTTTTAAAAAAAATTTATTTATTTTTGGCTCCGCTGGGTCTTTGTTGCTGCGCGCGGACTTTCTCTATTTGCGGGGAGCGGGGGCTACTCTTCGTTGCGGTGTGCGGGCTTCTCATTGCGGCGGCTTCTCTTGCTGCGAAGCACGGGCTCTAGGCACGCAGCCTTCAGTAGTTGTGGCTTGCGGGCTCTAGAGCGCAGGCTCAGTAGTTGTGGCGCACGGGCTTAGTTGCTCCGTGGCATGTGGGATCTTCCCGAACCCATGTCCCCCGCATTGGCAGGCGGATTCTTAACCACTGCGCCACCAGGGAAGTCCCGGGGTACCTGCTTTACTTCTCTGAGCTTCAGTTTCCCCAGCTGGAAATTGGAAGTAATGAGTAACTCTACCAAATAGCATTGTCATAGGATCCAATGAGAGTCTTTGTTGGGAGCATCTCCATCCTCAAAGTTGTTTGATCAAAACCCTTGATGTCATCCTTGATTCCTCCGTTTCTCTCTTACACACAGTTTGTCACTAAATCCTGTGGGCTTAACCTTCAAAGTATATCCAGAATTTGGCTGCTTCTTACCATGTACGTGGCCACCACCTTGGTCCAGCCCCATCGTCGCTCACATGGACCAGTGCAGTGGCCATCACCCCAGTTCCCCCAGCTCCTGCCCTCGCCCTTCACAGTCTGTCCTCCCCTCAGCAGCCATCAGAGGGCGCCTGTGAGCACCTGAGTCAGGTCCCGCCCTTCTCTGCCCACAGTCCTGTAGGCTCCAACTCCTGTGGGTAAAAGCCCCAGTTCTCCCCTTGGCCCAGAAGGCCCTGCAGGACCTGCCCTGTCCTCTCTCTGCCCTCACCTCCTCCCTCTCTCCCCATCACTCACGCTGGCCTCATGGGCCTCCTTGTTGTTCCTCCAACACACCCAGGCATGGTACTACCCCAGGACCTTTACACTGGCTGTTTACTGTCTGGCATGCTGTTTCCCTAGACATCCCCATGACTCCTTTTTTTTTTTTTTTTTTTTTTTTTGGATTGTGGGATCTTAGTTCCCCAACAAGGGATGGAACCCAGGCCATGGCAATGAAAGCACCAAGTCCTAACCACTGGACCACCAGGGAATTCCCAAATCTTTTTTTTTTAAACCATCTTTAAATCTTTATTCAAGCATCACCTTCTCCCTGACACCTTCTCTGACCACCCTACTTAAAATTTAAACTCAGCCCTGCAGTATTTCTCATCCCCCTTGCCTCCTTTGTTTTTCTCCATAACACTTTTACTATCTACACTGCTACATATTCACTCACTTGTGTCACTCCTTCATCTCTCCCCACTGGAATATAGGGTCTATGAGAGCAGAGATCTTTGTTTGTTTCATTCACTTCTGTATCCCATGTCCAGAACTGGGTCTGGCATAAAGTAAGTGTTCAACACATATATACATTAAGGAGGGCTTAGCACAGAGTGAGGGTACAGTGGACATCTTTAAAGTGTGGGTGGGGAAACTGAGGCTTAGAAAGGGGAAAGCAGCCTGTCTGATGTCACACTGCATGTCAGCAGAGCCTCCTAAATCCCAAACACAGTGTAACGGTTTAAAAGAATGTGGACAATGTATAACAGCAACTAACATAATGTTTAGGTCAATTACACTGCAGAAACAAACAAATGCATAGAAAAAGAGATCAGATTCCTGGTTACCAGAGGCAGGGAGTGGGAAGAGTGGGAATTGGATGAACGTGGTCAAAAGGTACAAACTTCCAATTATAAGATAAATAAGTATGAAGGATGTAATGTACACATGATAAATATAGTTAACACAGCTGTATGCTATATATGAAAGAGAATAAATCCTGAGTTCTCAAGAAATATTTTTTCTATTTCTTTACTTTTTAATGAAATAATTTTTAATATGAGATGATGGATATTCACTAAACTTATTGTGATAATCACTTCGTTATGCATGTAAATCAAATCATTATGTTGTACACCTTAAACTTCTACAGTGCTGTATGTCAATTATATCTCAACAAAACTGGAAGAAAAAAAAAGAGTGTGGACAAGAAAATGAATGTTAACAGGCACAATTAAATAAAATGAAGTGGTAGGACTCAATGCTGGCATGGCTGCATTAAAACTGGTAATGCTAATTCCTTGTTGGTGGCTGTGTATATTGCATACAATTTTTCCAGTGACATGACCCTGATATAGTCATATCCTTTGACCCAGAAATCCCACTTCTGGGCATTGATCATTAATTCAAAGGAAGTAAAAATACAAAATAGTTAGCAAGGCTTGATCCCTTATCTGGGTGTGTGAAAAATCATATCTATATATGTGTATATGTATCAGTTAGCTACTGCTGCATAACAAATCACCCCCTCCCCAAACATAGCAGCTTAAAACATGAGCAAGATGGTAGCTTCAATATCTTTTTTTTTTTTTTTTTTTTTTTTTTTTTATA